AAATTCATTCTGATTTAAAACATTAGTTTCAAAAATTTTTATCTATAAAGTACCTAAGTGTTAACGAAACAAAATAATTCTGGCAAATATTTATTGTGGAAAAAATATTGCCTTTTTTTTCAGAAAATGTTTTTATTTATTTATTTAAATTTTTTTTAATTATTGAAAATGAAGCTTCCTTAATCAATAGTTTTTGCTAAATTTTAATGTCGTTACCGGCGCAGTGTGCTATAATTTAAGATTAAATGTCTTTATACTATATCATAAAAAGATATTTCTACGATATCATGTTTTTTTAAGTTTTATAATCATAAAAAAATATTAACTAACAAGGGAGACTAGGGAAGTGTGACTCGCCAATTTTGAAATAAACTAGTGGGATGCGTGCCTTATGATTAGTAATTTTAGGGGGCAACATTCGTTTCGGCCCATAGAAGGTCCTATGAGAGATAAAAAAATAATTCAATCTATAGAGAAATCGGTATTTTATTACTTCAATGCAGACTATTAGTTATTGTGATTACCTCATACTCCAATTAATTTTGTCGCACTTTCACGTTCTATATAATGCATATTTATTGTCAAAATTGATTTCGAAAATTTTATATAGCATCTGTAATTTTTCAGAAAAACTTGTTTGGTTAATTTAAAAAAAAAATTGGCATCAAGTTTTTTAAATTTTTTTTTTCAAAAAATTTTCCAAATTAAAGGAGTATGTAATTGCAAATCAATTAATTAATAAATAAAAAATTAAATAGTTAATTTGCTAATTAATTAATTGCCCAATTAATTAATTACCCAATTAATTGCAACTTAATTGGAGTATGAGATAATTACAATAACTAATAGTCTGCATTGAAGTTATAAAATACCGATTTTTCTATATATTGAATTATTTTTTATCTCTCATAGGACCTTCTATGGGCCGAAACGAATGCTGCCTCCTAAAATTATTCCTCATAAGGCATACATCCCACTAGTTTATTTCAAAATTGGCAAGTCACACTTCTCTAGTCTCCCTTGTAAGTCAAAAGTTTAACCTAAAGCCAAAGATGGTGAAGGTAGAGACCTTTTAAATATTTTCTTGGGTGAAAACATTTAACGAGTTTTTTTAATTTTTTTTTATTTAAATTAAATTAGAATTTAAAGAAAAAGTAGTTTATAATGGAAATTGCAATAGTATAACGGAGAACAATTAATAGGTTTAAATTTTATCCTAACGGAATCTGTAACTAAATCTGTAAAATGAAATTTGCGTCAGTACTACAATATAAAAAAATTTTGGAGGCCTTTTAATTGACAAGAGACAAAAATTATTGGGAAATGATCATTTGGGTTGTTTACTAAAGCGATCAAGTGGCGGAATCTTCCAAATTGGCAAATGAAAAGAAAAAGTTTTTATGTTATATATATTATTATATATATTTATTATATATATATTATATATACTGCTATCAATATTCAGTTCAGCATTGTAGTTTTGGAGCTAACCCGCATTTGCGTTACGTGGAGAGGAAAAACACAAAATTCTCCCACGTTTAGCCCGACTGCAAGGGGATTCTAACTCATGATTCGTCAACCACTGAGGTATTTTGCGTCAGCACTGTGGTCGGTGCGAGCCGGGAGCAGAATTAGTATCTAACAGCTGCCCTGGGATTCGAACCTGGGTCCGCTCTACCCCCTGACCCACCGCATCCCCAACAGTTGAGTTACAGGAAAAATGTCACAAGTTTCGACTTTATATCTAAGCTAATTGGGTATAATATGAAAAAAACACAACTACTTCGATTTAGTAGGAACAACATATGACGCAATGCTAAACGAATGGAATTTAGTTGTTGTTTATTTAGTTATTGTTATTAGTAGTTGTTGTTATTTGTTTTAGTNACCCGCATTTGCGTTACGTGGAGAGGAAAAACACAAAATTCTCCCACGATTAGCCCGACTGCAAGGGAATTCTAACTCATGATTTGTCAACCACTGAGGTATTTTGCGTCAGCACTGTGATCGGTGTGAGCCGGGAGCAGAATTAGTATCAAACAGCTGCCACTGGGATTCGAACCTGGGCCTGCTCTACCCCCTGACCCACCGCGTCCCCAACAGTTGAGTTAAGTTGAAAGGAGAAATGTCACAAGTTTCGACTTTATATCTAAGCTAATTTTCCTTTATATTTCGCATAAATTTCCGACTTCAGTGAGTTCGGAGACAAAAAAAAACTAGCGTTCTTAAGCTCAATTTACAATCTTCGGGCTAAAAAGGGAAAAAGTGAGCAGAATCCCATCTATAACTTTTGTTGTTTATATGTAACTTCAACTATCTAAGTTCTTGCTCTATATCCAAGATCATTTATTCTTTCTTTAAATTTTCAGTGACGGCAAATTTTGCTTTATTTATTTACCTATTTGTTTCAAATGTTTTGTGGATAAAGCGAGTTCGAATCGCATTATAACCTTGACTGTTTATGTTTTTTCTTTTCTTTGATAATTAATAATTTGTGCTGTCTTTTAATCCATGGGCTTCATTTTCTTCAAGTCGTGAGTTGCAAAAACTGCATCAATTAATGTCTGTCTTCCTGTCGTCCAGTATTGGTCTCCAATTTCAGCCAATACACGTTTCTTAAGCTAAAAAATTCTTTTCCTTCCTCAATGCTCATATATATACTTAAAATCGCCACATATACAGTAATTATTAAAAAGGTAATCATAAAAAGAACATAAAATACTTTAAAGTAATATTATGTAAATACATTGAAAAAGCACACTGGTGAAAAGAAAAACAATTAACTCTACTCCAAGAAGTTCCAAAATTATCGTTTGCTTTTTTTTCTTCTTCTTTCTTTTGCTGCTTTTTTATTAAGACTTACGTCAGTCTGATTTCCGTATCGCACTGGACTGATCGTAAAGACACTGCTCCCAGTTGAGCATCAACTGGGAGCAAGATTTACTGATTCAAGATTCACTGACTGCGGTCAGTAAGTGGGTGGATGACCACTTTGATCAACCTTCGTAGGAACCGTAGGTGCCCGGTATCGGCCATCGTTAAACTGTTCTACCGTAAAGTGTTCGACTTCGCGCGGAAATCTACGGACTAAATGTATATAATTCTAATAAATAATACTCTTTAACATGGCAATCACTGATAAGTAGGTAAGTACTTTTATTTCCGTTGCACTAGAGCTGCACAGTGGGTTATTTTATTTTTTTATTATAACCGTCGTTGAACAGCCGACCCAATTTTATGGGTTTACGACTACTAATGTTCAGCTACGTAGTTTTATAATTTTGAACCCAATCCAGAAGACAGGGGAACTCCTGGATCGAGTATTGGGAGAAACTTGCCTTCTTGGAAGACTTTTTGATGGAGCTAACCAGCATTTGCGTTCTATGGAGAGGAAGACCACGGGAACCTCTCACTGTTAGCCTGACGGCAAGGGGACTCTAACCCATGATCCGTCTACCACTGAGGATATTTCACGTCAGCACTGTGGTCGGTGCTAGCCGGATGCGGAATTTTTATCGACTTGGATACGAACCCGGTTCACCTCATTGGAAGGCGAATGCTCTATCCCCTGAGCCATCGCGATTTACTGTGGGATATTGGGGACGGCTGGGAAACATCCCTGAGGATGAACTGAAGACATGCCATCGCAATTTTGACCCTCTCTAGAGGGGATGACTTCCCTGCTTTCGCGTTACGTAGACTGATCAAAGTGGTCACCCTCCCGCTTACTGACCGCAGTCAGTGATTCTTGACTTCGGTGTTCTACTGGGAACCGTGTCTTTACGATCAGTCCATTGCGGGACTGGCAATCTCTGAATCTCACTTCTTAATTTCTTCTTAAAAATAAGTGAAATATGCTAGAGTTAAATATTCTAAGGTGTATATTACGAATAGTATGCTTTTTCTGAAATTACAAAATAACGTTTTATATTTTTCCAGGCAGTAAAAAAAATTTCAGGTTTATTGTAATCGAGTCTACTTACCTAGAGCTCGGTGGTTCGATCCCTAGAAGGGACACGGAAATATTTATTTTGCATTATCTTTTTAAGTATATTTTAAGCATTATTTAAGTAATAAACATATTATTTTATCTTTCTTTCTTTATTTATATCTTTTATTGAAAATTTATTTAGTTATATATTTAAATTTTTATTAAAAAAAATTATAAAATATTTTTAAATTAAACATTTTTATACTTATATTATTTTGTACTTATGGTTTATTTTAACTTCAGTAGTTGTTATAAGTTCCAATGGTAGCCCATTGTCTTCACATTTTATCCATCGTGTTTTAGTTTAATTTAATTTATTATTTTATCTAAGATATCCAGTTTTAGTTGACCGTTTTGATAAAGTATTTTATAAATTAATGTCTGTTACAGTTTTGTTTTGAAATAATTGATTTCTATATTTTACATGATGTGAACATTTAAATGTGAACTCTAATGTGCGATAGAATTCAGACGATAGAAGATATTAAAACCGATGATGTAAAAAATTATTATTTTTTAAATATTTTTGTTTTATCTGAGGGGTATTTTTTAATTAAAGTATAAATTTTTATTTCATACTCCGTACTTTTTATTTGCTAAAAATGCAGGTTGATATTTACAAAAAGAAGAGTAAATTAAAATATTTTACTAATCACAAATAACTTTTTTTACATACGAAAAAACATTGAAGGATTTATTTTATAATTTTGTAAAAAATATCTGATTTTTTTTAAAAAAAACTCTTTTTTGTAATATTTTGCTACTTTTTTCCTCTCAAGAGAATAATAATTTGAGAGGGAAAGCGATTATTTTTCAAAAATAAAAATTCTAACTTTTTTAACAACGAGGAGTTACATAAAAATTAAATTTTATATTAGGATACTAAGAAAAAAAATGAAGAAACTTTTATGTTTCATAATTGTCACTAGATGGCACTATATCATTTTAAAGGAGCATAGTCTTCAATCCCGAGGTGGTGCCTCTTCTTCTACTACTACTCTTTGATTCAGAGAAACCTCACCTTACGGACACGCCTTCTTTGGGCGGACCTCTCGCATGACGAACGGTTATTAATATTCTCCTCGGTCTTTTATGAATTATGCTTGTAGACCACTTTTGCTTGACAGGAATAGTGATTTGCTGGGATGTTTTAAATCCCTTCAAAGCGGACAGTTCACATTTTTATGAATTATTTTTTGTGTGACATTTCTTTTTAAACATAACAAAGTGGATTAAGTTAAAGAGCAAGTTTTCGTGCGGTGAACGGGAAGCACAACTCGTATATATCTTTATGGCTTTTGACTAAAGATTGATTGGATTATTGTGAGTTCTTTTTTGAATGATTGTATTGTACATTTGAGTTTGAGATACAATGCTACGAATTAGTATTGAACTCTGATTGAATAAGAAAGAGCTTTTTCTGAACTCTGATTAAATCAGAAAAAACTGAAGAGCTTTTTTTTCTTTTTTTTACTGTGATTGAATGTGGAGAAGATTTTCAATGTTTTGAAATCTGATTGAATAAGAAAAAGCTTTGTTTGAACTCTAATTGAATACGAAAAGCATTTTCTATTTTTTTGGCCTATGATAGAATGTGAAAAAGATTTTAAATTATTTTGAACTCTGATTGAATAAGAAAAGGCTTTGTTTGGACTCCGATTGAATAAGAAAAGGCTTTGTTTGGACTCTGATTGAATAAGAAAAGGATTTTCTATTTTTTGAACTGAGATTGAATGTGGAGAAGATTTTCAATATTTTGAAATCTGATTGAATACGAAATAGCTTTGTTTGAACTCTGAATACGAAAAGCATTTTCTATTTTTTGAACTGAGATTGAATGTGGAGAAGATTTTTAATTATTTTGAACTCTGATTGAATAAGAAAAATATTTTCTATTCTTTAGACCGTGATTGAATATGGAGAAGATTTTAAATCATTTTGAACTCTGATTATATAAGAATAGGCGTTTTTTTAAACTCCAATTGAAGAAGATTTTTTTGTTTTGTTTTTGAACTGTAATTGAATGTGGAGAAGATTTTCAATTTTTTGAACTCTTATTGAATAAGAAAAGCAATTTTCATTTCGCTCTTGCTTTTTCCGCCATTTCGCTAGGAAATAGTTCAGAAAAAAATAACAATACGATTTCTTTAATTTCACGTGTACCTTCTTGCAATCCTTAATATGCCTCGGAGAGCGTTGACTCTAAAAGAAAAAATCGAAGTTATCGAATATCACAAGCGAGAAAAATGTAGCGTTCGAAAATTAGCTAGGCATTGGAAGATAGGAAAGACCCAGGCGTCAGACATTGTTAAAAATAGTGACAATTTGATGAATCTTTGGTGTGAAAACGGCAATGACTACCGATACAGAATGTCTCCTTTATCAAGTCCTGGATATCAGATAGACAAAAGTGTTTTTGAATGGTTTTTAGAAGTTCGAAGCAAGAAAATTCCTGTATCGGGACCAATGCTGCAAACAAAGGCCTTAGAAATTGCTAGCAATTTGGGAAGGGTTGGCTTTAAAGCTTCGAACGGATGGTTGGAAAGATTTCGAAGGAGGCATATGATTTCATTTAAAACTATTAATGGAGAGTCTGGCACTATGGATTCAGAATGTTTGAGGTTTGTAAACAATTTTGGTATATAAAAAATCAAACGTTTAATCTTTAAAATAATCGTAAAAAATATTTGTTAATAATGCTACAATTATGCTTGCATTGCTTAATTGTGCTTGCATTTCTTGATTATGCTTGCATTGCTTAACCCCTTAATGATCGGTTAATTTTCAAGAAAATGGTCATAATAGTGCCAATTTTGCCAAATATATATATTTGATTAGTGCTGACATCTAGTTTAAAATAAACTTACTATCTATTATTACCTTAAAAATACCCTAGTATTGCCATCTGAGTGCGTAAAATAAGAAATAAAATGTTTTCAGGACGGAAGAAATGAATTAGTTTTATTCTTATAGGCGCGTTACTACTGAACACTCCAGCCCGGAAATTTCACGGGAGCCGGAAATAGAGGGCGAAACCTCATCCCGTCATTTTCACGGGAGCGAGAAGGAAGGGGTTAGTTGTGCTTGCATTGCTTGATTATGCTTGCTCCCCACAGGCAAGATGCTTTTATTAATGTTGCAATTTTTTTTTGACAAGATATGTGTATGAAAGTATGATTGTTTTGGTCGAGAGGATATTGGCTATTGTGAAAATAATTTTACGTGTGCAAACGTAACGTGCGTATCATTTCATAAATTAAAACAGATAATGATGTATCATGGTTTTTGCTATAGCATTTGACATTTAAAATCAGCAATTTAATCATTTATAGGGTCATTTTTTATTCTAGTTAAGTTAAATATTTTTGGAATTATATTATTGAAGTTAATTTATGAAATGAAAGTCCTTTAGTTTATTATTTAAATCAACCTTTACTATTGCCCTCATTTAAAAATGAAGTTCTTCATTTTTATTTATTTTTTGTCATTTCTGAAATTATCAGCTGATTTCAGCACAAATCATAGGTGGGAAATTTCATACTTTCTACCTCCTTATAAAGAATAGATTAGTTTGTTGGTAAATTCCATTGCAATGATTAATGTTCATTTTATATTTAGTCAATAAGTGAGCGAATCTGAGATTAGGGGAATTTATGAATGGGCGATTCTATTTGCATTAAGATAAAACAGGTATAAATTTATTTGTAGCATTGTGAGCAGAATTTTTTTTTTCAAATTGTACATTTTGATGCAAAATTTGTAACGTCTAATGTATATTATTTTTACGTCACCGCTGATTTTTAAAAAGCATGTTTTGTTTAAATTCCTATATATAATGGATTACTTTCGCCATTTGGCGGATAGCCTTAAGTACAATACATTTCTTCTCCTCTCATACAATTATTTGTTTTCTACAAGACATTATTTTCGTCAAATTTTAAATTCTAACTATGCCTTTGATAAAATTTATTTAGTTTTTACAAATTAAACTGATGTTTTATTCTTTGTGTATTTCTAAAAAAGTAAGAAGAATAACATTAATAGCAGTTACTTCTGAATCTTAATGCTGAATATTGCGGAAAATACTTTTGTTTAAATTAAATCTATCCTGTAATAGCTTTTTTCATCAGATTACAGGACAAATTTGATGGTCACCACTGGCTACAGAACGACGTAATATATCAATTGGCGATTAAAAAATTCTCTGCCAGTCGCCAATTTTTTTTTTTTTTTTTTTTTTTTTTTTTAANTTCCTTTTTTTTTTTTTTTTTTTGTCGAAAATGCACCCCAGGCTAGTTTTTTTTATTTATTTTTTAATAAATATGGAATTTTTAATTTTTTATAGCATTCTGCAAATTACGTTTTTTTCACTCTTGTTTCTTAGAAACTTTTCTTTCTTTTAGAAATAAATCTTGTAATGCTTACCATATTTTTTGAGTTACTTCCATAGGTATATACTTTACATTATTAAGTTTTCTTATTTGTTTAGAACTTTTATTCCTTGAAAAAGGTGATAACGCGTTTTAAAAAGTGACCACAGTAAAAAATTAATCAGCGAAATTTCTCTATTTCGCCATATGCATCAGATTATCTTAAACTTATTATCTTATAGTAAATACTATCGAAGTTACGTTAGTTCGATTTTTTGATGAATCCTAATTTCACGTATTAGAAAATGGCATTTTGTCATAAAAAATTTTTCATTAAAACTTGGGGAAAAAAGTATTTCTAAATACTTAAAAAAAAATTTTAAGAATGTGTATATTTTAATGGAGAACTCTCCATAAAATTTTTACTGAACAAATATAAATAAGTAAATATAAATAAATAAATGAATATAATTAAATATATATGAATAAAATAAAGTAGATGAAAATGCTTGCGTATTTGATATATAGTTCAATTAATGGTTGTCGCTCATGGATTAAAACCAATATAAACACTGCTGTTAGTAAATATGTATATGAAGAATACTTTTTTTTTTATCTTATTGCTTTTAATGCAAATAGGTAAATGTTGAAGAAGCTTTTTCAACGTTTATTTATTTGGATTAACACGTTGAATGACATGGGGGTCACCGGTGACCGTCACTGAGCTTGTTCGTAGCGTCACAGGGGTCACAGGTGACCAGCGAAGCCAAGATTATTAGAAATACATAATTCAAGTAAATTTGTAATGCTTTTAATTTTTTTAATATTATTATCGTATCGTTAATAAAATGGTTTGAAGAAATTAATGCAATACATATTGAGAAAATCATTTTGGCCACACGGGCAAGCCATGTAAAATTAGTGTGGCATTCAACGTGTTACAGGATCATTAAAGAAATAATAAAATAAAAATCTTTATTGTTATTTTTAGTCGATTTAACAGCATCGAAAAGTAAGTTCTATTGACTATACAAATTCTCAATTCCGAGAATAACTACCACGTGATATCTGAATGCAGAGTATGGAACATAATTATGGATATTATCTATCAATGTCTGCCTGCAAACATAGATAAGTAAAGAATACGTTTTCAGAGTAGAGACCTCCTGCATTTTAACTAATATCCGTCACCAAATATATTGTGTGTAAGACAGGTTTCTAATAATAGATAGCAAGAATTTCCCCACAAACGAACAAAAGGCATAGTAAGGAGAGTTTCAAAGGAACACCTGCTACTAAATAATCGTCAAGATGACCCACCTAATGCAGCTCAAAATCCCCCCCCCCACGGAGTTACAGAGACTATAGGGTTATCTTTTTAAGGGTGTGTTCTGGCGCGTTTGCTAATAAGCCATGAATTGAATATTTTAACTTTCTCGTTAGAGCCATGAAAAGAGATTAAAATGATAATTTGGCATGCTTGTAAATAGTGGAATAGAATTAGCATCGTAATTTGGCGACTTAAGTTAAAATAGTACTCGATAGAATAATTGTCGATCATTTGCAACAATGTCAGCCACAAGTGCGGCCGAGGGTAAAAATTTCTTTTTCCTAAGTTCCCAAAGAGGGGCTAGGGTTCTAGTATACAACAAATATAAATATACACTCAAAAGAAAACACAAAGGAGTAGAATTTTGGCGTTGCAGAAGTTTGCAGGATCGTTGCTCTGCACGCCTTCGGACCAAAAATAACAAAATAATTTCAGAATTCGCGTCCCATAATCATGAAAATGATGCAAAGGTGATCAAGGAATTGATATTTATTAAGAAGGACATGGGACGTCTAGCTGTTGAACAAAATACTGTTCCTATCAAAGGATTGCGCAAGTAAGTCTTTATTTGATTATGTCTCTATAATGAATTTAAAGTTCATGTTTAATTAACTGCATTTGTTCCCAAATGAGGGGGAAAAAATCTTGCATTTATATTTTGTTAACTATTAAATTTAATAAAAATTAAATATTTTTTAAGAACTATGCTTAAAACATTTAATTAGCTAAATAATTCATAGTCAGAAATTCATCAGAAAAGAAAATATTTTTGATAAGTTCGTCAAATGGCTGGATTATTGTATATTAAGATGAAATCTTCATAGTCTTAGACGATTAATATGCTAATGAAAATTGAGGTGCGACTTTGCTATCAATAATGGTAATCAATTAAGGTAGGAATTCACTATGAATGTGGTCAATTAAATGAAAAATAAAATATCTAAAGTTGTTTTTAACGGAATTTAACAATATCTATAATTAAAATTTCTTCATAGAATTTTATATGAAGCATGATAAACAATATTGTTATTTAAATACTATCTAGTAGGAAATTAAAAGTCGTCCAAAAAGCTATGTATTTAAAATAATACCATTGAGACAGTGTTCGATATCTTTACTTAATAATCTATTTTAATAATTTCAAAAATGTTTATATTTTATTTTAATAGTATATATATAGAATTCGCAAGTGTCCACCTCACCCTATTGATAAATGTATGTGAAAAATTAGTTTTCAAAATTATAATTAACTTTAGTAACTAAACTTAAAAATATATGCAAACTAATTTCATAAATGTTTATTTTTTTATTTTGATAATATATATACATATATATTCAATTCGCACCCTCATCCTTGTTAAAAATTAAAATTTTCAAAATTAGAATTAACTTTGGTAACTAAAATTAAAAATATATTCAAACTAGGAATAACAAAAATAAATTTTGAGCCATATCCTATTTTGTATATTTTATTAACATAAAGTTTTGTTGACGAAATTATTCTGTCTACGGTTGTATACACCTTGGCTATTGCAATGGCATCATAGAAAGTAGGACCAATGCCGCACATCCTCAATCCCTTCGCAGGCTGATCAAAGTGGTCACCCATCCGCTTACTGACTACAGCCAGTGATGCTTGACTTCTGTATTCTACTGGGAACCATGTCCTTACCAGTGTCCACAGATTTTTAAATCAATGAAAGAATTCAATTTTTTCAAAGTCTCCCCTGAACGATTTGAATTGAATTTTTTTTTAAAATTACTTTTGAGATTGGGAGAAAATTGCCTTCTTCATCCATTGTCGAAATTTAAGGACCCTAGCTCAAACGATTCTGGAGTTATAACGAGCACCATCCCACCCAAACTCTTCATTTTCTTATTACAGATGTATGAAAGTAGAAATACGCAGAAATTTTTTTTGGAAAATATCTTTAAAGTTAAAGTTAAGACTTAAGAAAGTTTAATTTTCTGCTTTTCAACAAGAAAAATTTGCAATTAATGAAAACTTTCTCGGGACATGACATATACTGTGATATATATATTGTGAAACTATTTGAAAATCCGAGTTCTGATGTTGCACATACTTAAAATTAAAATTCTGCGACAAAATGTCTTATTTTCTAAACCTTTCCTATAAAGAGTAAGGCTCCTGATTTCAATAAATGAATATATAAATGAGTTTTTTTTCCCTCGATTTCTATGTGCATTTTTAATTGTTCTTAGTACAATTTGTTAGATTGATTTTATAAACTTTATGAACATTGATTATTTGCAGATTTCCCTAACATTTACTTCTTTAAGAAGAGATTACGAAATTATTCGTATAAGAGTTATGCTACAATTAAATTTCCAAGCATTGTCGTGATTGAAAAATTATGCAAAATCAAATATAATCCTGATATTCACAAAATATATTTTTAATAAAACAGTAGTATAATTGTAAATTAACGAATAAATAAAAATAATGAAAACTTTTAACATTAAAAAAACTGAAAATTCTCCTGAATTTTTTTTATAAAATGTTGATAAAAATCACTATAATTAAGAAAAATTTATATTGTACATAAATTAAACTAAGTAGCTAAAATTATAGAAATTAACATCATTAAGTTATAATCGAAATAATGAAAAAAAAAACATTAACGCTTTCAAAAATGTCATAAAAGTGTTAAGCATAGAATTATTTGGTTAAATTATTAAGCATTTTCTAAAATTATTCATTTTTATTCAAATTAAAAATAGCTTTTAGAGGTTTTAAAGAATATAACTTAAAAAAAAATTTAAAAAACTGTAGTTTTAAAAATTTACGTGGGAGCTAACACTACACTTACTTATGCCAACTGGTATAAGTTGAGTATCATAATTAAGAAAAATTTAAATGCGCATAAATGTAAACCAACATTAAAACCTTTGACAACTTATATTTAAGAATCATTGCACAATGTTTATAAGAAATTAATAACTGTACATAAATAAAGTAACATAATGAAACCACAAACGCTTTTCATTTTCACAAAACTGTGGCTTTTCTCTATATTGACGCTTTACGCCATTTTCAACAGCTAAAGCCAGAGCAGCTTTGCGCCAGTTTTGATATAGAAATTGAAAATTAAATTTTAAAAAAAAGAAAAAAAATTCTTGTCTTAGTTGCAATGATAACAGATCAAATTGATTAAGTTGAGATTTTCCCGATAGAATCGGAAACTGAATCTATGTAAATAAAACAAATGTTTTAGTTTTCAATTTTTCATAAATAGTTTTTTTTAATTTCGTTATATAAACCTGCGTATCGCTTAGATACGAAAATGATTGCGCAATAATCGTTAGAATTGGCGGGCAAATGGGGAAACCCTGTAGCAGAAATTCAAAGAATGGATCTGCAGCATTATTTTCAAAAATCCAAATTTGTCTGCGACTTCAACACTGTCCGACATAGATTATTATTGTAAAAATTCGGCCTTAATCTAATAAACATGTTGCAAAATTTGCAAATATATGGTCCCAAAAATTATGCAAAAAAAACTTAGTTGCTTAAATAAATTGGAATTTCTACAATGATACTAAAAATAAAATAAAACTCTGTACATGCAATCAAGTAACAGATTTTTTTTTGTTTTGTTTTTTTTTAGGATTTTCTAAAGTTAGATTTATAAATTTTATTAGAAACAGGTTTAGGGGTGTTTCAAAAATCAGTCTCAGCATTTCCACCATTTATTTGTTTGCTTTTTAACAATAAAACTTGATTGAAAGATAATCTACTAATTGTTGTAATCTAAATCTAATTGTATGCAGCTCCCACTGCCTAGCGGGAGGATTTATGCTACTGCTGCCCTAATCTATAATTTAATGTTTGGTTTTATTTATTATGCTTATGACCTTTTTTTTTTTTCGAAAATTTTATTTTAAAATATAAACTATGTTTTTTTTTTTTTATTCTCTTATTTAGTTAAAAAGGGACAACAAAAAGTTTGAAACTTTTAAACTTTAGCCGAAATATTTTCCGACCCCTTGACTCTAAGCGTAGGTAGCATGTTAACTCCAGCAGTTTTAATAAAGACTGTCAAACGCTAATCACGGGTGTCAAAATAAACTTTTAAGCGGAAAATTTTGTCTTAAAAACTGATAATTTCCTCCCTTATCAGTTTAAATGAGTGAATAAGACATGCTGTACCAAACGAACATAAATTATTCGAAATGTGCAATTAACGAAATTGAGAATATCCCACACGAATAGCGTTTCTATAGAAATGTAAGATTTATAAAGTTTGTTTTTGCCGTGGTAACATGGCTTATTTTCTTCCTTGGAAGTTTACTAATTGGATTGATTTGATAGCTGAAGACCAAGAACTGATTAGCGAAAGTAAACAGAGCAGCTATACACTTGGCGTTATACCTTTATTTGATTGGCACCAGGAATTAATGTTAGCGATAAACAGCAGGGTTTTTGTACGCTTATTTCCGCTATCACTTCTTGCTGAACAGAGTATATATCTGATAGAAACATCCTTGCGAAGTTAACATACTTTTTGTATACTACCATGGCTTCTAAGACAAAGATTGGTTCTTGATTTTAACGCGAGAATTAAAGTTGTCTAGGCGAGTGAACGAGAAAAAAAGTCCGCCAAGTAAATCTCTGAGATATCTGAAGTTGGCAAAACTCAGGGGTACCGTATTTTGAAAAATAAAACTGAGATTTTAAGGCGGTGGGGAAACTGCGCAAACGGAAAAAGGAAAAGGGAACTAAAGAAAACTCCCTACCAGGATATAAACGAGATAGTTTGGCAATGGTTCCTCAGTTCCAGAGCAAAAAATCATAGAGTGTCTGGTCCTATGATGCATAAATATGCAAAAAAATATTGATCAAAAACTGGGAAAAGTTGATTTTAAAGCATCTAATGGATCATTAGAGAGTTTGCACAAAAGAAAGTTATAAGTAGATTAATTTTTTTTTTTTTTTAGCATTTGTTTTTAGTTAGAATTTAAGAGGCCTCTACCAGCACCATCTTGGACTTCGTTTAAATTTTTTATTTTTGTTGTCTTCGTGTTCTTTTGTGCTTAAACTTTTGATGATATAGTTCGGCTGCTCGAAATCTTTTTTAAAAAAAGTGGTAAATAGTAGTAAAAGTGGTAAACTTAACTTCTATGAAATGCCGATCGGACTGTGCAGGGGTCAAGGAACTGGCCTTGCATCAGAAAGGTTCTGAGTTCGAATCGCCGGCAAGGCATGGATGTTCTTTCACTCTCTGTACTTACTGTGGGAGCAACGTCGGCCCACCTAATATGGTGCCCCTGAAAGCGTGGCAAACAATGGCCCTGAAAGTGTGCTCTGTAAATGCCTGAATTGACGAAATGTTAACATAGGTATGCATTGGAAATAATTTTTAAAAAAAAACTTCTGTGAAATTTTCGATTCTATGTTGGGGTACCTTTTCATAAATGAGGGTTGACTTTGTTCCAAATATAATTAAATTTAGCTAGTATAAATGGTTCTCTTATTATAATCTACCATTTTTTTTTCTTCAAATAAATCTTGACTAAGTTTTGCATTATGTTGTAATGTATGTTGTTGTTAATGTAAGTATTACATTATTAGAGATATCATTTCATGTTTTTACTTCTTTAGGGAAGCAGTAGCTGAAGTCCTCACATCAGCTGATGCAGCTTCACCTTCAACGGTGCAACCCTATGATTCACTTAGAACAAGTCTTTACAAGTACAAGGAGAAAAATAAGATGCAGGTATGTCATTTTTCGACTTGATAAAATTAATTTTCTCACAAAATTAATTTGCACACGATTTTTGAAAAATGATCTTAAACCCGCGCTTATTTTGAAAATGGCGCAAAACATTTGTATGGAGAAAAGCCACAGGTTTGTGAGAATGAAAAGCATTTGTGGTCTAATTTTTAAATATTTGAAAACTTACTCCAATGCAGCATTACTAGGGCTCATAAAAATATCTAAAAAATGAGAATAAGGCATGCGATTTTGATAATTTTCATCTAGGTGGGAAAATGTCGCCAAACTAGTAATTTATAAAAAAGTTTAATAACTTTTAAAATATTTAAGTCATTTGTCTGCTCTAAAGCCTTTTTCACGGCAAGATTACATATATAGTTTAAAACCATCGCATTGCTTCAAGTGTTAGGCCCTTAATCTATGTTTTTTTTTTAAAAATTTATTATCATTATTATTATTTTTTTTTTTTTTTTTTTGAAAGTTGAGTTTTGGCGGGATTATTCAATCGAAGAGTATGGACGGTAGAACGCGAAGAAAATGTTATAACTTTAGAAAAACAAATATTATAATTATACCCGTCATTGAACAACCGATCCAATTTTATGGGATTACGACAAAGATTCAACTCCATAGCCTTGTAATTTCAACCCAGTCCAGAAGACAAGGGAACTCCTGGATCGAGTACTGGGAAAAATTTGCCTTAGTGGAGGACTTTTTGATGGAGCTAATACACATTTGACGCCCAGTGGCTGAGTGGTAGCGCTTCGCGCTCGTGTGCCACAGGCCCTGGGTTCGATCCTCGGGCCGGGAAAGGTTGACTCAGCCTTTCATCCCTTCACTGGGTCGATAAATGAGTTTGTACCAGGCAGAAAATTTAGAGATATAATTATTTTAGTGAGAAACAATTGTTTAATGTCGTGATAAGAATTTTATGTAAAGCAAATCTCATTTTAAAATACATCAATACTTTGTGTATAAGCAAGGGGCATCAAGGCAATTACGTTTTAACTAAAACTGTTACATAATAAAATTTCAAACAAAGTAAAAAAAAAAAATTTATACTAACCTCCTTTGGCTTTTCATATTCTATTTCAATAGAATGAACCTCTAATTCATCTTCTTCTTTTTAGTCTAATCTAATTTTTTTCACTTTCATCATACCATTCAACTGGTAGCGTTTCGTGCCACAAGTCTTTGGTTCGATCCTCGGGTCGGGCAAGGTTGACTCAACCTTTCATTCCTTCAGTGGGTTTAAAAATGATTATCAAGCATGCTTGGGAACTAAACACTGGGGGTTTCGCGTTCGGCTGACCACCTAACCGGAACATCTGCACCCCAGAGTCCAATGGTCGAGAAAACTGAGATGGGCACAGTAGGCCAAGGTCCTCTATGGGCTGTCGCGCCACTGCGTAGTAGTAACCCGTGTTTGCGTTACATGAAGAGGAAGACCACGAAAACCTCCCACGGTTTACCTGATGGCAAAGGTACTCTAACCCATGATCCGTCTACCCCTGAGGATATTTCACGTCAGCATTGTAGTCGGTGCAAGCCGGATGCGGATTTCATTTCGACTGGGATTCGAACCCGGTTCGCCTCGTTGGAAGGCGAACTATCGCCTGAGCCATCGCGGCTCTAGAAAAACAAATAAGTGTTATCGGAGATTGTAGACAAAATCATTTGTCGCCAAGAAGGCTTGCTATTCATGCGAACAAATTTCAAATTAACCGCATATTGTCGAATGCCAATAAAATGGTGGAAAAAGGAATAGACAAAAAATGCAAAAATCGAAAACGTAAAGGAAAGCTCTCTGAATTTGTAAGTCAAATTTTTCGATTTTTGCTAAATTTGAGTTTGAATAGGCGTAATTTATTTTTTTAAAAAATAGATTAAATAAAAGAGTAATTTTTGTAAATTTTGTTTTATTATTTCATCGAAATTAAAGTTAACAATATTTTATTTATTTATTTACTTAGTTATTTATCTTTTTTTGGAGGAGGATGATCGATTACTTTTACCATCTAGTCATGTTTCTCAGAAACTACTAAACCTATTCTCTAATTTTTTTTAAAAAAATTTTCAAATTTAAATTATTAATTTTTTTTAAACATTTCTATAACACTTTCAGTAGATTTAATTCTTTATTTTAATTTTGGTCTTAAAATTGTGTGTTTAGACTTTTTAGTAACTTTATTTTTTCTAGCGTACTTAAAATAAACTTAACTGAATGAATGGCTGGAACTTTTTTAAAAAGAAATAAATTGAAAAATAAAGCACAAAAGAAAAGTAAGAACATTTTTGTAAAAATGCATAACATAACTATAGAACCAAATTAAAAAAAAAAAATTCAGAAATAAGTGTAGAACAGAGATAGTCAACCCTTTTCCGTTATTGCTCCATAAGTGCCCCTTAAATATTTTAAATAGGTCCTTACTTTCTGCTACATTATTGTTGAATTACTTATCTTAATTTCTTATAATCTAATGTGATTTCTAATATCCACTACTTCAGATATGTTTTGCTACACATTAGTATCATTACATTATTCTTGTAATTTCCCCTGTAATTCTTGTAATTCTTTCGTTCCCACATGAAATGTATACAGTATTTCGTGATTGCATAATTAATTTAGAAATTAGATGAAGTTGTTTGTTAACTTTATTTTTATTCTTATTTTCAGAAAAAAGGAGGAAAGAGCTATTCAGTGGCATCAGATCAGAACAATAAGGATCCAAATCGGTTACCCTCTGCAAATGAAATTAGTACACCAGATGTTGAAATGCAGTGCTCTGAGAGAACAGATTTGGAAACACAGGATGTCGCGTCTACAAGTTTCATGAGCAATACAGATGAACAGATGAATGAGGGTTCAATTTCAATACCCGCTAAAAAAGGAGTCATCACACCAGATGTTGAAATGCAGTGTTTTGAGAGTACAGAGATGAAAACTCAAAATGAACCCTCTACTGGTTTTTTGAACAGTTCAGACGTCGTCTTCAAACAAGAAATCATCGAAACTGAACTAGATCCCTGCACATTCGATGACTCTTCGTTTCATTCGTCAATTGCTGGCCCATCTGGAACGCAGTTCGATGGACAAAGACCAAGCACATCTTATCAGACATTCTCAGAATCATCAAACTCCAATACAGATTATATACTCCCAGATGAACCTGACAGTGTTGTTGACATTTCAACAACTCATGGTTTAAGAACAGTAAAAGTTGAATCCGATGTTCATGCCAATTCCCGTGACGTAATTTCTGAAACAAACAATACATTTTATAGTGGACCATCAGTTCTAAATGTCACAAAGCCTGCAAGTTTAACGAGAGATAAATTTATCCAAACTAGAGTTCCTCCTTTGGTTTTAAATATTGCAGATCCTAAAGACTCGCCACGTAATGAACCAGTTCAAAACGGAATTACCTCCCATAGAGAGTCGCCAGCTTCGACTCAAGTTTTAGATCAAACTGATTATGAAGAATCGTGCAATAATAAGTCGACCCAAACCGAAGTTTCGACTCATTCAAGTTCCCCTCTCCCTCCTGGAGACAAATTCGACGTCTTTGGCGAATTCATTGCTTTCAAATTGAGAAATCTGGATCCAAAATCGAGTGCTTTCGTTCAGACTGCTTTTTCTGAGCTCCTATTTAAAGCTGAATTGGGGATGTTTATAGACAGAAACGGAAAAAATATTTCTTCTAATCGAATTGATGGTATCCAAAAGGATATGCCCCTTTCCAATGAATGTGAAATCGCGCAAGGTCCACCAGGGAAAGAGAATGTCCAACCTGTAGTTCCTTCGTTGATGGGGAAGTCAGATTTCAGTGTTCTTAGTTCTGAAAGCTCGTCTAGAAATGACATTCCCCAATCTGAAGTTCTTCCACATAAACCACACTCGTCATTTCCTCCAGTTAGAAACAATACTGGTCCAGAAAACGCAGTGCGAAATGAACTCATTCAACCTAGAGTTACGTCACATATCGGAAACGTACGGCCTCCAGTTGTTCCTGAAAGTGCATCTTCCAATCAAACAAGAGCTTCATCTCATGCGGAGTTGCCAGCTTTTCTTCCAGATTTAAACCGTGCAAACTCTAGAAGTAACCAGCCTATTCAACCAATAGTCCCTTTCCGTGGGCGACCTAGAGACGAATTCGACGCTTATGGGGAGTTTACCTCTTCAAAGTTACGAAATCTAGATTCAAGATCGTGTGCCTTCTTACAAACAGCTTTCGCAGATCTGATATTTGAAGCTGAATTGGGGAGGTTCTTAAGCGAAGGTGAGAAAAGCATTTTTACCAACAATACGAACAATATCCTTCGGAAGATGCCTTCTGCTAATGATTATGGAGTTGCCTCACAAGCTGGTGTAGCATCTAATTCGTCCAAGTATGATGCACGACCCACGAAAGATTTCGTAACCCCATCCTTTTATGAAAGTGAAGTTCCTTTGGAAATGATACCCAGCATGCATTCTGCTCATAAATAACTCATAACGATGTATATTTCACCTTTGCTCATTATTCGTTATCATTAAATGTTTACTAATATTTACGTGTCTCATACTATTATCACTTAATTTCTTGTTGTAAATATCGAGACACTTTGTTGTTTTGTATAAAGATGCATTAAAATAATTTTAAACGAATTTCATTGTTGTTTGAGGCAATTTACTTTTTTCAAGCATTTCAACTGAAAGCATTGGAATATCTGCAAGGATTAAAAAAATAATAATAATAATAACTTTTAGGTAGATGTTGGTTTGTTGTCGGCCTTCTGAGCCCAAGTCTGCGGGTTCGATTCCCGGCCCAGACACCGGATTTTCGGGATGCAGAAAATCTTCAGCTGCCATGTCGTATGATTATACGGCGTGTAAAAGATCCCTGGAGTGCCTTATTAGCTCTTGGCATTTCCGGCAAAATTAAATTCCTAGTGCACTTTAGCATCCAAATAGAGCCTCGGTGCTGCCATCTACTGTTGCAGAAACTAGACGTCCAAATTAACATGGCCAACGGTATCTCACCCATTGTGGTGGTCCTGAAAGAGTGGATGCCATTTCTGGAGAACCCACTAGGTCTGCTCATCGGGAAGACTGATTGTGCAGCTCATAGGAAATTAAAAAAATACTTTTAGGTAGACTGAGTTTGATACAATTTTTTTTATATAAAAAAAAATCTTAATTACAATTTTTTAGTTTTAGGTTTGCCAAGCCAGGAGTCCTAAAATTGCAAATTTAAAGTAAAGTTAAAAAAAGTTATATATTTTTTTTCAAAATAAGAACAGATTTAAGTTACAAACCCCAACAACAAATTTAACTTGGCCCCAGTTAAGCTCAAAATTAGCAGAATATGGGTCCTTATATGACCATCCACCGAGGGACCAATATTAGGATGTCTAGATTTTTTAATATTGATCCTATATAGAGATAATATCAGCCTATTTATGGCCAACATTTGCCCTATAGTATCTGAGAAAAACTAAACATCCCCGTGGATGATCAGGAGACAAACGTCACACCCCGTTTTACAGGGAGGAAACATATCGTAATTTTGATCTTAACCTGAGCACGATCAATCAGGGATCCAGTACCCCAGAGGTAATTATTTGTTATGGGGACTTGGAGGACTTTGTTAACCGACAGATTTATCGTGCACCAGTCACCATTTTGTACACCAGGAGTCTTCGGCAGGCGGACATGGGCCTAATGCATTACTAGCCAGGCTATCACTGCCTCAGTAAAGTGCTGTAATTTAATGTTGGTTAATTGAAACTTATTAGCCCAACAATATATGTATAATAAAAATTAAAACAATGAAAATCAACAAAAAGGTTAAATTATTTCATGTTGAATGCTTTGTAAAATTTTAATTCTAAAAGAAATTGATTTAAATCAATTGTTAAAAAAAAATCATCATTTTAATTAGGGGTTTCCAACTTAAAATGGGCCGGGGGCCGCAATTAAAAATACCAGTCAAATGGCGGGCCGCAACTTTATCAAAATTTTTTATAGAACTCTTTTACGTTTGAAGGAACATTAAATATTTTTATCAAGTTATATAAAACAGAAGTATTGAATTAAAAATTAAAATAAGAAGATTTTTACCTGAGAAATAAATTTTTTTCACCGTTGGTGTGTTAAATAAATTTCACTGAAGCTAAGAAATGAAGTTTTTTTTTAAATGAAGAAAAGTACTTTTAACCCATATATAGATTTTTACGAAAATTGTCCGGAAAAAATGACAACTAATAATGTTCACGGGCCACAAAAAAAAGGGCTTCCCGAACCGGATGTGATTGACCACTGATTTAAATCAATGAATTTTGAGAGCAATGCACTTTCACTCAATTTCAATATACAAGCTGCTCAATTAAGCTTATATTTATTTCAGAATAAATAAATAACCTATAATTATTAAACAATACATAAATAAACCTATGATTATTATACATTGCGTAAGTTTAATTTTTTTTTTACTTGATTCTCTACCCTACTTGTAAGTGGAAAGAAAATCACCCTGAATAACTTTTGATTTAATGATCGAATTTTCTTGTTCTATGACTCGATCTCAATGGTTCAAGGGGGTGACCTCAAATATGCTAATTATTTAGGGCAGAAGATATTTTAAGTTGCGAAATCAAACATAAAAATGTACTTTCTTAGAATAAACATACCTTTTTTTTTTCTGGCGGATTCGGATTTCTGACTGCCAAACTTGGCTGACTGACTCCGTTTCTCACTCAGGGGAAAACCGAAATCAGGGAAATATGGTCCCCATAGTTTGATCAGGTGAGCGGCCCAAAGTTTAGACCCTATAATGTTAATTTTACGTCTTGCGTATTTCGTCATATTTTGAGAACTTTTTAAACGAATGGAAAATTTTTTACTCACAGCTATAAAATTCATTTATCCAATGATGATTCCATGCAAAAATTAACTTTTAGCAATTGTTTATTAATTTAGTGAATATTTATTATGTTATTAAATAACAATCCAATACCTCAAAAACTTTATAAGCTGATCGAAATATATTTGCTCACACTTATAATCATTTTCTTAATTAAATATAATTCCAATTAATAAAAATTTTAATAATTTTATTTAATAATAGTTGCAAATATTTTGAAACGTATGGTATACAATTTCTTAAATCATTTTAAAGTATGTAATTTTGCATGGAAAAATACAAAATTTGAGCGAAATCGGTCGGCTTGTTCCTGAGAAATTAAATTTTAAACATACGACTTCATTGAACGACCGCTTTCGTGACCACACTAATAGGACCACATTTCCCAGAAATTTCGGCTACCCTCTATTATTTTTAAGGAAAGGAATCCAAATCCAGCAGAAAAAATACATTTTTGTGTCTGATTTCGTAACTTAAAATATCACCTGCAAAAATCAATTAACATATTTGTGGTCACTCTCGTGAAACATTAAATCCTAGTAGATGAAATTCTGACCATATTGTAGAATATTTTTGTTTTAATGTATTTCATAAGTACATTGTAAGGAAACAAAGTATATTAGATCCAAATAATAAGTTATACGCCATAAAGCTGTCCGAAAAGTTACTTCATTTCATAAATACATTGTAAGGAAACAAAGTACATTAGATCCAAATAATAAGTTATACGCCATAAAGCTGTCCGAAAAGTTACTTCATTTCATAAATACATTGTAAGAAAACAAAGTATATTAGATCCAAATAATAAGTTATACGCCATAAAGCTGTCTGAAAAGTTACTTAAATCGAATTTCTTATCTTTCTAATAATTTTTTATTGTTGTTAAAAACTGAAGGTAAATAAAATTGTATTTTTACATGAATAATCGCTTTGCAAAGCTATGCAAGTAGAAGAAAAAACATAAACTTAAAAAAAAAAAAAAAAAAAACATTAAGTGATAAAATTGTAGTGAAAAATCGATGCTGAATCTCATGACGATAGACACGTAAATTATGAAAATTTTGTTTATTTCTTTCATACATTATTTCATTTATTCATTTCTTTTTGATGAAAAAATACATTCTGTTATTTTGGTCTAAATGTTTGAGAGCTGCAGTATGAAATTCCAGGTTGTATAGGTATTTATAAAATGCATGTTGTGTTATATAATCTATGTACATTAAACATTTTATATGGAGTCACGGTGGCGCAGGGAAGGGAACGTCCGCCTCCTAATGATGTGACCCAGGTTCAGATCCAAACAATGTAGACATGAAATCTACTCCGGTTAGCTGAATGATTATGAATAGTGACTTTCAAACATAGTTAATCGTAAGTGAAAAATGGATTGGTTATTCAGCGCTGGTTATAAAATTAAATAAATAAAAAATTTTATCAATGTAAAATGAAATATCACAATGAATCTATCTGTATTTGTTATCAACCTTCTTATTGATCATGAATTTTCTGGGAAATCCTTTGAGAATATATGTTTACCAACAATTTTTTAGACTTATTTTCAAAATGTGGAATTGTTTTTCTTCAGAAGTCTTCTTTTTTATGGTCATATAATAATTTGTAAGGAAGGAAAACTAATCAAAACGTTTATAGTTCAAATAAACTGCTCAAATATAGTTCAAATAATTTGTAAGGAAGGAAAACTAATCAAAACGTTTATAGTTCAAATAAACTGTTCAAATATAGTTCAAATAATTTGTAAGGAAGGACAACTAATCAAAACGTTTATAGTTCAAATAAACTGTTCAAATATAGTTCAAATAATTTGTAAGGAAGGACAACTAATCAAAACGTTTATAGTTCAAATAAACTGTTCAAATATAGTTCAAATAATTTGTAAGGAAGGACAACTAATCAAAACGTTTATAGTTCAAATAAACTGTTCAAATATAGTTCAAATAATTTGTAAGGAAGGACAACTAATCAAAACGTTTATAGTTCAAATAAACTGTTCAAATATTGTTCAAATAATTTGTAAGGAAGGACAACTAATCAAAACGTTTATAGTTCAAATAAACTGTTCAAATATAGTTCAAATAATTTGCAAGGAAGGACAACTAATCAAAACGTTTATAGTTCAAATAAACTGTTCAAATATTGTTCAAATAATTTGTAAGGAAGGAAAACTAATCAAAACGTTTATAGTTCAAATAAACTGTTCAAATATAGTTCAAATAATTTGTAAGGAAGGAAAACTAATCAAAACGTTTATAGTTCAAANTTCGTCCAAGTATGATGCACGACCCACGAAAGATTTCGTAACCCCATCCTTTTATGAAAGTGAAGTTCCTTTGGAAATGATACCCAGCATGCATTCTGCTCATAAATAACTCATAACGATGTATATTTCACCTTTGCTCATTATTCGTTATCATTAAATGTTTACTAATATTTACGTGTCTCATACTATTATCACTTAATTTCTTGTTGTAAATATCGAGACACTTTGTTGTTTTGTATAAAGATGCATTAAAATAATTTTAAACGAATTTCATTGTTGTTTGAGGCAATTTACTTTTTTCAAGCATTTCAACTGAAAGCATTGGAATATCTGCAAGGATTAAAAAAATAATAATAATAATAACTTTTAGGTAGATGTTGGTTTGTTGTCGGCCTTCTGAGCCCAAGTCTGCGGGTTCGATTCCCGGCTCAGACACCAGATTTTCGGGATGCAGAAAATCCTCAGCGGCCATGTCGTATGATTATACGGCGCGTAAAAGATCCCTGGAGTGCCTTATTGGCTCTTGGCATTTCTGGCAAAATTAAATTCCTAGTGCACTTTAGCATCCAAATAGAGTCTCGGTGCTGCCATCTAGTGTTGCAGAAACTAGACGTCCAAATTAACATGGCCAACGGTATCTCACCCATTGTGGTGGTCCTGAAAGAGTGGATACCACTTCTGGAGAACCCACTAGGTCTGCTCATCGGGAAGACTGATTGAGCAGCTCATAGGAAATTTTAAAAAAACTTTTAGGTAGACTGAGTTAGATATAATTTTTTTTATATAAAAAAAAATCTTAATTAAAAATTTTTAGTTTTAGGTTTGCCAAGCCAGGAGCCCTAAAATTGCAAATTTAAAGTGAAGTTAAAAAAATATAAAAAAAAATTTACAAAAAAAGTACAGATTTAAGTTACAAACCCCAACAACAGATTTAATTTGGCCCCAGTTGGGCTCGAAATTGGCAGAATATGGGTTTTATATGACCATCAACCGAGGGACCAATATTAGGATGCCTAGATTTTTTAATATTGATCTTATATAGAGCCAATATCAGCCTATATATGGCCAACATAGGTCGTATAATATCTGAGAAAAACTAAGCATCCCTGTGGATGATCAAGAGACAAACGTCACACCCCGTTTTACAGGGAGGAAACATATCGTAATTTTGACCTTAACCCGAGCACGATCAATCAGAGATTCAGTACCCCAGAGGTAATGATTTGTTGTGGGAACTTGGAGGACTTTGTTAACCGACAGATTTAACGTGCACCATTCACCATTTTGTACACCAGGAGTCTTCGGCAGGCGGGGATCCTCTCAGGCATGGGCCTAATGCATTACTAGCCAGGCTATCACTGCCTCCATAAAGTGCTGTAATTTAATGTTGGTTAATTGAAATTTAACAAACAACATATGCATAATAAAAATTACAACAATGAAAATCAATAAAAAGTTAAAATATTTCATGTTGAATGCTTTGTAAAATTTTAAATCTATAAGAAATTAATTTAAATCGGTTATTTAAAAAATAATAATTGAAAAATCATCATTTTAATCAGGGGTTTCCAACTAAAATGGGGCCGCAATTAAAGACACCAGTCAAATGGCGGGCAGCAACTTTATCAAAATTTTATACACTCTTTTGCGTTTGAAGGAACATTAAATATTTTTATCAAGTTATACAAAACAAAAGTATTGAATTAAAAATTAAAATAAGAAGATTTTTACCTGAGAAATAAATTTTTTTTCACCGTTGGTGTGCTAAATAAATTTCACTGAAACTAAGAAATGAAGTTTTTTTTAAATGAAGAAAAGTACTTTAAACCCATATATAGATTTTTACGAAAATTGTCCGGAAAAAATAACAACTAATGTTCACGGGCCACCAAAGAAAGGCTCCCCGAGTCGGATGTGACCCGTGGGCCGCCAGTTGGTAACCACTGATTTAAATCAATGAATTTTGAGAGCAATGCACTTTCACTCAATTTCAATATACAGGCTGCTCAATTAAGCTTACATTTATTTTAGAATAAATAAATAACCTAGAATTATTAAACAATACGCAAATAAACCTATGATTATTTATACATTATGTAAGTTTAAATTTTTTTTTTACTTGATTCCCTACCCTACATCTATATGTAGTGCTAAAAACAAATTACCCTGAATAACTCTTGATTTAATGATCGGATTTTCATGTTCTGGGACTCAATCTCAATGGTTCGAGGGGGTGACCTCAAATATGCAAATTATTTAGTGGAGAAGATATTTTAAATTAACTTTATCAAAATAAATAAACCTTTTTTCCGACGGATTCGGATTTCTGACTCCCAAAATACAGAAAGGAAGCCGAAAAGTGGGAAATATGGTCTCCACAGTATGTGGGCCAAAGTTTGGACCCCATAATGCTAATTTTACTTTTTGCATATTTCATCATATTTTGAGAACTTTTTAAACGAATAGAAAATTTTTTACACACAGTTATAAAATTCATTTATCCAATGATGAATCCATGCAAAAATTAGCTTTTAACAATTGTTTATTATTTTAGTGAATATTTTTTATGTTATTAAATAACAGTCCAATACCTCAAAAACTTTATAAGCTGATCGAAATATATTTGCTCACAATTATAATCATTCGCTTAATTAAATATAATTCCAAATAATCAAAATTTTAATAATTTTATTTAATAATAGTTGCAAATATTTCGAAACTTAAGGTATAAAATTTTTTAAATAATTTTAAAGTATGTAATTTTACATGGAAAAATACAAAATTTGAGCGAAATCGGTCGACTTGTTCCTGAGAAATTAAATTTTAAATATACGACTTCATTGAACGACCGCTTTCGTGACCACACTATTAGGACCACATTTCCCAGAGATTTCGGCTACCCTCCCTCTATTATTTTTAAGGAAAGGAATCCAAATCCAGCAATTTTTTGTCTACATTTTTGTGTCTGATTTCGTAACTTAAAATATCACCTGCAAAAATCAATTAACATGTTTGTGGTCACCCTCGTGAAACATTAACTTTAAATCCTAGTAAGTGAAATTCTGACCATATTGTAGAATATTTTTTACAGTGTATTTCCATAAATTTTGGTAAGGAAACAAATTATATTAGACTCAAATAATAAGTTATATGCCATGAAGCTGTCCGAAAGGTTACTGAAATCAAATTCCTCATCTTTCGAACAATTTATTATCGTAGTTAAAAACTTTGTTCACTGAAGGAAAATAAAATTATATTTTTACATGAACAATCGCTTTGTAAAGATATACAAGTAGAAGAAAAAACATTTTAAAAAAAAACATAACATTAAGTGATAAAATTGTAATGAAAAATTGATGTTGAGTCTCATGATGACACGTAAATTATGGATATTTTCTTAATTTCTTTCATACATTATTTCATTTATTTTCATTTATTAATTTCTTTTTGATGAAAAACTACATTCTGTTATTTTGGTCTAAATGTTTGAGGGCTACGGTATGAAATTCCAGGTTGTATAATTGTGACTGAATAAGAATTTATAAAATGTATGTATGTATCTATTGGATTAAGGTCAGGTCACTGGAATGTTCCTCGACGATTCGACACTTATGATATGGTGCATTGTCCTGTTGGTAAACACCATCCCCCGCAGGAAAAACTGCTGCCATGGATGGGGGAACCTGGTCTGCAACTATGTCCAAGTAGCTTACAGACGTCAGGGATTGTTCTATGAGGATTATGGGACCTAATGTGCCCCAGGAAAACCTGGGCGAGTCTATTGTTATAGATGGAGGGTGATCATAATGTAATGGCTCTTTCGTGTATAGTCTATGTGCATTAAACATTTTATATAGAGTCACGGTGGCTCAGGGAATGGAACGTCCGCCTCCTAATGATGTGACCCAGGTTCAGATCCAAACAATGGGGGGTAGACATGAAGTCTGCTCCTGTTAGCTAAATGATAACAACTAAATGTACAAACAATATTAATCGTAAACCTAAAAATGGGTTGGTTGTTCGACGCTGATTATAAAATTAAATAAATAACATTTTTCATCAATGTGAAAATCTCCATGAATCTATCGACATTTGTTATTAAGCTTCTCATTGACCGTTAATTTTCTGGAAAATCCTTTAAGAATATTTGTTTACTAGCAATTTTTTAGACGTATTTTTAAAGTATGGCTTTTTTTGTAATCATATAACAAATGTGTTGGGGAGGAAAACTAATCCAAACGTTTATAATTTATTTTATTAGCATGTAATTTTATTTTATTTTTAAAGTTAAAATTTAAATCAAATATTTTTTTTAAAAATATTCTTTATGAATTTCTTAATGAATTTAGTATTCTTTATAAATTTCTTAATGAATTTAATATTCTTTATGAATTTCTTAATGAATTTAATATTCTTTATGAATTTTTTAATGAATTTAATATTCTTTATGAATTTCTTAATGAATTTAATATTCTTCATGAATTTAATATACTTTATGAATTATATTATTCATGAATTTCTTGATAAAATCAAAATCGTTTATGTAATTTAAAAATAAATAATTCAAAGATGTAAAAACTAATATTGTAATAATTTTCCAAGAAAATAAAAGCTCCGGGCTAGTTCTGAAATTATTTATTTATTTTCAATAACAGAGCACAGAAAACAGTTACAAATTATCAAACACAAATTAACAACGAAACTCACAAAACACTAAAACGGAGATATTATTTAGGAGATGTTCTCCCATCGGTTGCGATAGTTCAACTCATTCGTTACTGTTCCCGCCACAAGATGGCGTGATGGATATTCTAAAGTAGTTCTGTTAGCCAGAATTTGTAACCATTTTCCAAGAAAATTAAAACACCTTACAAATTATCAAACACAAATTAACAACGAAACTCACAAAACACTAAAACGGAGATATTATTTAGGAGATGTTCTCCCATCGGTTGCTGTAGTTCAACTCATTCGTTACTGTTCCCGCCACAAGATGGCGTGGTGGCAATTCTAAAGTAGTTTTGTTACAATATAATCTAAACATATTTATAAGATGTTAATAGTCAGTTGTCGGTCAAGAGGATCACGGAGATTAATGCGAGTAATTTTGACATAAGCAGTTTATATTTCACACAGTAAAATACGAAAATTTATTTATTGCGAACTTAAATTATCAAACCGGTTTCGATTGGAGTACGTCCAGTTACCTAAACTAGTGCAAAAAAGTCGGAGATCTCGTAAACTAGACTCAAAGCGTTGTGGTTGGAC